AACGAGGCGGCAGCGGCATCGGCGTCATCCAGCACGGTGCCTGTCCGCCGCGTAGCGGCCCCACCCGTGACCCTCGAAATAAGGGTCGTAGGGCACATAGAAATCCTGCACCTGTGGCGGGACCTCGGGGACCTGACCGACTTCCAGCAATTCACAATTTCGTACAGTATGAAGGAGTGCCTGGGCAATAAACTTACATAACTGCGATGGATATTGCTTTGCTGTGCAGTTCGGAAATCGCCATTCCCTCGGACCCCGACGAGCTCTTCGGGATGCGAGGTGTGGGGGCATTTGCCCCCGCCTGGCAACTGAGCAACTAAATCACGAAACGTCGGCACATTAACGCACAACATGGTAGTGGGTTTCTTAGACCGAGCACCACACGTACATTGATCTAAATTCAGAAACCTGATGTCAGCACGAGCTCTAAAACCACACACTGCAACCATCTCAGGGAGGCGCCAGATCGAGGGGAGGTGAGGGGCCTCCGGTTCGAGAGGATGTTCTAAAATACAGGCAGCTCCTACGGCCGCACAAACATACACGACCTGAAGCATAGTCTGCAACAAACGATTGCCGAGCATAACCTGTTTCCATTCAGAAGGCGTGCGGGCCGCCAGGCCCCATAAAAATTCCCTGGACCGCAGGATACGAGGCTTCATACCCCCATTAGGCGGCGGGTTCGCACGGCCCTTGGACCAGGTCTCGCATGGGGGCCCTCCAACAGCTCCGAGGGCCTGCCCTGTCCACAACATTTCTAATATTTTATCGACCGAGGCTTCTACTGTAAGGTCACCTCGGTCTGGACTATTGGCAACGTCGATAGATAACATTACCACAGGTACTCTAGCGGCCATCTGAAGCATTTCGAAGTGAGCTTGCACGTCGCCTGCCCGACGTTGGCCGCTGAAAAGATGCAAGAAAAAACGCACTTCTGACGGCGAATTACTGATCACAGCGGGGGCATCATCATTCTGATCCCGTCCGCGCTCGACGCCGTCAGTCGTGGCTCTGGCAATGTTGGCCTCGACTGGGCCTCCCAGCACAGGTCCAATAAAGGCAACTGGCGGTGCGGTAGCTGCATTCCGACATTCCCCCCGCCCCCGACAAGTCCTCGCCGCCCGAGCATCTTCCTTCCGCAGCTCCAGCACCCGCTCAACTGGCATGGGCTTCAAATGGTGCGCAAGCACCGTGAGGCATCGGCTCGAGCCGAAGCGGAGGTGGCGAAGTAGCCGCCCTCTGGTGTGCCAATCTTGGCCGCAGGCGTGACAACAGGATCCTAGTGCCAACGCTCCTGCTAGGTCAAACTCTGGATGCGCGAGAGTGCGGTGCCTTCCCCACGCCGCCTTGGTGTTAAGCACTTCTTCGCACTCTCTGCACGGAAACACGACATTGTCAGCAACTTTTTTGAGGACGGGGGGTACGGGGAGATTGCCACGCTCGCAAATGGCAACCAGCTTGGATTGCCACACAGCAACCTCGCAGCTCGCCAAGTGCTCTGCCATGGCGCCTCTCTCCGCCTCTCTACACCAAGAAGTCCATTTTTTGGGGCAATCTCGGGCTACGCCAATCCACCACGGCAAATCACCGACAGGAGACCACTCGATCGGGATCGTGATCCGATCATACATCCACCAGATATCTTGCCTCACAAGATACGCCCAACTATTCTTAACACTGACAAGTGCGTCAAGCATGTGCAACAACCCGTCCGATCCGAACCTCAAGACTTTTTCCAAAAACCGAAGCCTCCTGAGGCGCAGAGTGACGAGAGCAGGGAGACGGCGGCATCTGAGGTAAACTTCAGGCGTAGACCAATCACACACATCGTCGAGGTCCTGCTTCCGAAGGCCCACGGCAGCCCTGAGAGGGGCCATAAACGCAGTTTCCAAGTACTTCTGATTACCTGCATTGAGTGCGGACAAGACGGCACCATGGAAGAGCACTCGGCTGTGGCAGAAAGCAGCAGCATACTTGACACGGGTGTCAACAGGTAAATCGTTGCTACGGGTGAAAACCGCCTTCTTAAGTCCCCCGAGTACCCCCAACTGAGTGTGGTGCCTATGCGCAAGCTCCGCATTCATAGCGCCCGAATCCTGCACCATAGATCCCAAGTGCCTGCACACGTCGGCAACAAAAACGGAACGCTGGATAGCAGGGACCCACATCTCCCCCTTAAACGCGGCTATCTTCGCTTTAACAACCTTCTTGCCCTCGACGATAGGGTGGAACAACAGGGTCGATTTGCCCTCCCCGTAGTTGACGACAAACCCCCTCGCCGTCATCACTTGATGCACAGCTGTTACGACAACTTCGGCCAACTTACAGCAGTCTCGTGCCTTGGCACATGCCTGCAGCACGGCAGGATCGTCCACATACGAAGGTGACCCTATGCGGCTGTCCAGCTGCTTGTCGCGGCTGGTGAAGGTGCGTCCTACCCGCGGGCACATGTCTTCAACGTTTAAGTCGATACCTCCGGCGAAAAACCTCATCCTCAACTCCTCATGCACGGGGGCAAAAGCGAGGGTAAAAAAGAAATCTGCAGGGGGCATGCCCGGCCTTGCTCCCAACGTCGCTTGTGCCACGGACGTAGCATCTTTTACCTGGAACCAAGTGCTCGAGTTAACATCGGCAACTGCATCTCTCAGGTGCGGGGTACCTACCCTGTCGAACACAGCTGGCTCTGCCAGCAACTGCCTCATCACCCCTTCAAGCGCTAGCGGCAACTGCAGATTGTCGATGACATCCTCCAAGTCCTGCTGTGCCGACGGCAAGGCGGTTAAAAACTCTCGAATGACTGTGTGAAACGCTGCTTTTAGGTCCGTGAAGAAAAGCACCGAAGTATACCCCAGATGCCTAGCAAGGTCCTGAAAAGCCCTAACTTGAAGCGATGCACCCGCCGTGCCTCTTCCTGAACGGCCCCCGTGCTGATCACAGTCCAACAGGACCGAAGCAACGTCATGGATTTTGCGCCGTAGGAACTTGTGGCGATGCTTACAGACGTGCACGCCCAACAGGATCTCCCGAAAGTTTTTTAACAACCGAGCATCCCCCTTTTTGTACAAGTCGTGCACCACCCCACCCTTCCATGCCAGGGGTTCTCGGCATGCCATCTGTACTTTTAAGACAAGTGGCAGCAAAATCTATGCACTGAGGTCTGGTGCGGCCTGATACAGATCATTGGTGCACAAATCGTGCCCTGCTGCCCTGCGCCTCGCCGCACACTGGATGTCGCACTGCAGTCCCGCTAAAGAATACAAGTCTGCCAGCTCACGATGCCCGCTCGAGTGGAATTGCTGCTGCTGCTCATTATAGCGGGTCACGAGCTCTGGTACTGTACAAATCTTGGCTCTCTCAGTGGCTGCGAAGTGCTCTAAGAGCCCTCGTGCCAGGGCCTCGCGTGACTCGCACGGCTGGCCTTCCTCATTCACCCTCATAGGCAACACGTTTTTGTCCCCAGACTTACGCCCACCCCCAAAGGCAAGCAAACACTTAACTCCAGACCATTCCACACGGCCATCTCCTGAATTAATAGCATCATTGATTTCGGTGGCCTTTTCTTCCAGGAACCGAGTGCGATCATTCCGTAACTTACGGCGAATCACATACTGCGAGGATCTCAGGAAAGCTACACAAGCCCCGTGAAACTCCTGAACCCCATGGACTTGATCGACCCACAACCGAGCAGCAAACGTGAGGATGCCTACAGCCGAGTCAAACTCAGGAAGCGCCTCTCGAACAGCTGCCACCTGCGGGTCATCATGTGCCTCGATGAGCGACGCAGCTAAAAACAGGATAGGCCGAGCGTCTTCCCCTTTAAAAGCACGGAGCACTCCACGCACGGTCCTCCTGAACCTGATACCCCACAAGGTTTCATCCCGAACATAGCTTTTGGTGGGTCCCGGCTTGGTTTTACGAAAGTGACGCTCCGCGCATTCCTGGAAAAACTTCGTGATCATACTGAAATGCTGGTTCACGTCAACTGACCAATGCACGCGTGGCGCAGACTGCAGGTCGCTTCTGAAGGCCTGCTGCTTCTCAGGATCCCGCATAGCTTCCTTGTCCAAGACGGGGCATGCCTTTTTTACGTCAAACTGCTCAGCCCATTGCAACTTCACGTATGCTGGGAAGTGATCTTGATGACTGCGCGCAACATCAAAGTCACGCAGCACTCCATGCTCAATCACATGTCCAAGCCAACACCTCGGCGTGCACACGTAATCGACACGATGCTTAGCTCCTTGCTTATCGAGCGTGTAAGACGGGGTCGGGGAGGGACCGAAGGTGGAGGGGGCGCCCAAGCCATTAGCAGACAACAAACCATTGAAGAGACCCCCGTTGCTGTCCTCCTTGGCTGCCTGATGCGACCCGATAGCTTCTGTTGGATTAGCTCCTACTTTAGCATTGGCATCGAGCAAGAGAATGTCCACCCCGAACTTGGCTACACTGCGCGTGGTCTCATCCCACCACTGCTTGCGCAACCTGAGCGGGGCCTCTGGACAGGGACCGTGCCCCACCAGCACGACAGTGCGCCAGCATGGAGCATTGATTTTAACAACTAGCAGGCGCGGGCAGGCCTGCACCACAATGCAGTGCCTCGGCTTGAGAAAAACAGGTTTCCCCCCCCCACAGTGGCGTATGGAACCTTGAGGTTGACCCATAACTCGCATCCAAAATTATTTCCCTCCTCCGCCCCCGATGCCAGGCAGTAAAAATCGTCGGCAGTGCGACTGCCGCGAGGCGTCCTCGCCTCCTGCACGCCTACGAGCAACGCCGCTGCTTCCTGAATCTGTTGCCTCAACCATTGGCCTCGCAAGACGGTCCTTTCGCCCTTTACCGTATCCTGCGCTGTCTCAGCATTATACGTGACAAGTATCATGGAGCGTTGCACCGCCTTTTGAACTTCTTCGTCGAGCTCTGGCTGCAAACATGTGGCAGGCAAGGCGCGCACATATAAGCCAGCTCCATCGCAACACATGTGCTGGGGCCGACAAGGCAACGTGAACTCAGCATGGTTCGAAAATGGATACTGGTGTTTGTCAGCTTCTGGCAAATCGAGCAACCAATTCCATTCTAGCTCGGGTGTGTGGTATAGCTGCTGCACTATCCATGGGGGAGTGCAGTCATACACAAAATCACGAGTAGACTTGGCCAGATCGTCGGCCATCTCGTTCCAACAATGCTTGTTATGTCCGTAGACATGCAGAATATGAACTGGCACACGGGCGGAAGCAATCTTATATATGTGTCTTGCCAGCGCTCCCAGCTCGGGTTCAGCATGCGGATACTGTTTGCCGAGCGTTATGGCTATGGCCACTTCGCAATCAGAAAATATCGTGACGGGGTAAAGCTCGCACTGCTCGCACTGCTGCATGGTATAGCTAATCACCCAACTCAACGACCATATCAAAGCCACCGTCTCGGCGGTGATCGAACTGACATCTTTTTCGAGCTGCATTCCAATCGTGGCAAAGACGGTCCCGGCAAAAAATCCCAAAAACCGAACATCTCCTTCTTCGTCCAAGCAAGTTGCTACCATTGCCCAACCGCTAAGTCCTCGCTCTGCCGTTAGAGAGCCGTCTGGAAACAAAGCAATGGGACCCATCGGCACCTCGCTAGGCGCAGCCGCCCCCAGCGCGAACTCCGCCTCCGCCTTGAGCTGGACTTCCCCTACCTCCCTCAAAAGGCAAAGAGGCGGCATTTCACTAATGCATCGAACGATCCGATCGGCACCCGAGAAATCGCATTTGGCATAGCCGTCGACGCCCACCAGCAGCGCCTCTAAACTTATGACTGTTTTTGGTGTAGTGCAGGCCTGACCCGATCCCCCATCCTCGGACAAACCATTGCATTCATCAACAATAAACGTGCGAACCTCGGTCTCTCCCCAAGAGACTCGAGTTCTGCTGCGCTCGGCGGAAGCGGAGGCCGCGCTGGGCATGATGCACGCCCCTGGCGACTCGCAAACGACTTGAAAACTCGGACTGCCAACGCTGACCGTGGACAAGCATAGGTCCCAGCCTGTCACGGAGCTCGCGTCCGAAGCGGTGTCGCCTCCCCCCCCCCGCCCAAGCTCACCCACGCAGTCCCACCCACCCATATCGCTATCGGCAGATGCGTCAGACGCGCACGGCGAGCATATGATCCAACCTTGCTGCTCCGCAACTGGGCTCCCAGCACTCAGTTGCACGAAGCTCGTGTCTGATGCATCTGCATATAGGTCGTCATCCGTATCAGTTTCATGCACGCCTGAAGCCCCGGCGTGCCCAGCCATGCATCCAAATGACATGCTGGAATCGAGTGAAACGTTATCGTCCGTCATCTGAGCGCCTGCTGCCTCTGCAACAGGCTGCGTCTGTGCTGCCGAGCTGTCTGCTCCAGCTGACGGTTGAAAGTCGTGCACATCGTTAAAGGCATGCTGCAGTTGCCTGGGCGTGAGCGGATCTTCAAAATGCAAGAAAGACTCCCAGAACAGATTCGCTCGCGTCCTGGCTGCATCCCTCTCGGCCGTGGTTAAAAGCGACACGCCCGACGCCTCGGCTTGCCACTGATCCCGCGTCAGCTGCAGTGCGGCAAGGGCATGTACGATGTGCTCGTGCCACTCCTCAGCGTGCGTGCTATCGACTGGCCTACGCCTCAGACGGTTCAACCTGTTAGTGTACACATCACGATCATGCTGTGCCAACGCCCAAGCACGGTCACATATATCGCGAGCTGCTAGCGCGCATGCCTGTGCTGACGTGGCAAGCGGCGCAAAGATGGCACTGGCACGAATTTGCCATGAGACCCAGGCAATGCACTCGTCCATCCAACTATCATACGCTACATCAATGCCCTGCACGTGGGCCATGGTCGACCACGGTCGGCTCTGGCCTGCAAGTGATCTGGCTAGCACGCTGGCTGCGTGCTCGGCTGCACCCATGCCCAGGTGCGCACTACAAGGTTTACTTGTTGCAAAAAAGGTCGGGAGGATATTCCCGCAGCAATCCAGGCGGAGAGGTGCCAGCTGCGGCTCCTCATCATTACCTGCCAACAGGGGCGTCACGGGCACACCTGCCCAGTCAGTAGTGAACGAACTCCTCGAGGCTGTCGACGGTGCTGCAACATCCCTGCGTGCATCGCCTTCTGGCTCGAGTCTGGTCGAACTCACGCACCTCCGTCTGCTGGAGTCGCTGCTGCCGCCGCGGCTGCGGTGCGCGCCTCGGGCACCGAGGCCGCCCCTGCTCTCTTCTCCTTTCTCGGCGGAGAAGCCGTCGTTTTGTCCACCTCGATCATCGTCTTGTCCGCCATCCCGTCGATCCTGCGCACCTCCGCCTGGACTGACGACTCGTACTCGTGCGTGACACTCTCCGTCGGCGCTGGCAAGTAGGGATCGTCGAGCTGAGACGCCGTGGTCATTGGAGCCCACGGCTGCGTCGGCTGTGAGCATTGCGGTCTGTGTATCACTGGTGTCGGCTGGCTGCTCTTGCCCTCGGCGTCGCCTGTCTCCACTGGCGATGTGGGCGAGCAACTCATCCTTCCACACTTGGACGGGGCCTTCGGTGACGCCATTGCCGGCTTGGGCTGGCCCATGGGCGTCCCTGGCGCGGCAGTCGCACCTGCTGGCGTAGGCGGCGACCGCTGCGCTGGCGGCGGTGTCGTCTGTCCAGGCGTAGGCATCCCCCCAATCGGTGTCCTCGGTACCGCTGCCGCTGGCGTTGCTGGCGACCTCTGCGCAGGCGGCGGTGTAGATTCCACTTCCATGGGCTCCGTCTCTGCAGCTGCGGCTTGCACTGGCGGCTGCGGTGGGAACGCGGGCGGCGGCCTCTGCGGCACTGCTGCCGCTGCCGCTGGCACGGCCTGGGGCGCTGCCCCACCGCTGGCGCCAGGCGCTGCAACGCCCGACGCCGCCGCGGTAAACCCCATCGGCGACATGACCATGCCCATCTGCCTGTCCTGCTGCTCCATGCGCATCATCATCTGCTGCATCATCGCTTCGATGGGAGAC